GCAGGCCTTGAAAATGAGATAGCCAGCATAACATGCCCAGATGTTGGTAGAGTAGTGCATGAGAAACAGAGAACCAGCATCTACTGCAGAGAAGATCCCTAAAGCCAGCTCTCCAAAAAGGTCCCAGTTAATTTTCAGGTATTGCACTAGGAAGGATGTTACCGAGCCTAGAAAAAGAGAAACGTGTAAGTGTTGTATCTGTTCCACAGCCTGTATTGCCAAATCTTGCCACCCTCGTGTGCCAAAAGGCAATGCTGAATAATGAAGCAGAGTAGTTCTGAAGTTTGAAAGCCTTTCTAGTGACTTCTGGAGCCGTGAAGATGACTGGTCACTTTTGGAGGACTGCATAAATCAAATCTCTGCCATTCCGTTCTTAGTGCTTTATTCCACTTGACAGGATAAACTGTAATGTAGGAGGATTCATTATTTAGCTGTCTGTGCCCAGCATGTGTCTCTGGGGAGAGAACTGGGAACACAGTTTGGAAGTCAAAAAAGTCTCTCCCAGCTTCTCCTGGCTTACTGCAGAGCGAGGCTGGTAAACCTGCCGATGTAACAACTTAGCTCCCTGCACCTCATAAAGTGTCAAAAAGTGAATTTTGTGACGTGTCAGCAGAGTATATCCAAGGAAATGAGAAAGGATAGGCATTGTTTGCTCTCGGTGAGCCTCCTAAAGGTGCATCGGTTGCAAAGATAAGCCACCTGATTTAACATCTTCCGTGCTGCTACACGGAGGAACAGGCAATTCCATGAGAAAGATGAATTCATCAAGGAGAAAAATATTCTAATTCATGGTTCACTTGGCCTATCTAATTGCCTGCCTCAAGACAAGAGTAGTATTTCTTTCTCCCTAATGACTGTAAGGGTAACCTGAATGACTACGTGTGATGTAGGCGTTTATTTTCCCTGGTGGGTCACACCCCGAAGTCTTGTGCAAGTTCTCTACAGCAGCACAGTGTGAGTATGTGAAGCCCTGCCAAGGCAGGGTGGTGTTCTCTGATGTCACCTTTTGATAACCTCGCTTTGCTTGTGCATGAGCATCTGCTCCTGATGCAAAAGGGGAATGCTTAACGTCAGTATCATAAGGAATTCGATGGGGTCTCTTTCTGCAAATCCCTGCATCTTGCAATGACTAAAATTCTTCCTTTTTTTCCAGCTGCACAGGAGTATTTCACTAAAAAAAGATCTTAATTAGAGGATGATGTTCTTTTTGTGTAAAATATTTAGGAATAACTTCTCCCATCTGTGTAAGCTGATAGCATTGTGATGGGAACAGTGCCATACTTGTTTTGGGGAAAAAAACCCACACCCAATAGCCTCATCCACAGACACACGAGTGCCTCTGAATGGGTTTACCAACTGGATATAAAGTCTGTGTAACTTGCACACTTTCTGCATACTGGTAAGATAGAGTTGGTTATCTGGTCCTAAAGAAAAACCAGCACAGCTCCCATTGGAGCTGCTGTAGATCAAAGACTGAGGTTCTGGAAGGCACAGTGTGTGCACTGGCTCCCTGGAGTGCCTGCAGCAGGGTGGCACTTGAAAAGCTTTCCCAAGTAAAACTCGAGGCTCCCCTTTGTGATCAACGTTTAGACATTAACTTACTCAGAAAAGTGGCCAGTGCTTCGACAGCTCCGTTGTACACTGCAGAGCTGTGCGAGGGGGCTCGCAGGTCCCACAGCACTTGGATATAATTCACCACTTGGTTAAAGCCGGCCGTAGCCAGAGCCCACCAGAGGGACCAGTAGAGAAGTTTCCTGGAGCTGTAGCAATCCCTCAGGTCCCTGCTCAGCTGCACCAGCACTCGGAGCAGGTGATGGCGGGGCTTGGCATTGCCAGGCTGCTGTTGGGGGGCTGGGCC